GTTGACGACTATACGGATAAAAAAGATATCGCTGACTTTTGAAATCCACATGATGGGAGCTACATTTCCGTATGTTATAAGATGTAATTGTTGAATATATGAACATGGGAAGACAGCTGAAAGTTGACAAAAAAAAAGTCAAAAAATAAATGAGATTGGAATAAATAAAAAATCTCTAGCTGGTTAGTGCCACTGCAGAAGTTATAGATATCTTTAAAAGTTATCACATAAATTGATATGATCTATCCCACCCGAACTGAAATCGACCATACAATGATATAAAATCACTAGAAGAACCATCTATTTTCTAATTGGTCGTCAGCTATATAATCCCGAAAAGCAAACCTTTTCTTAACCAATAAAACACACACATCTCAACAGTATTATAGATTGAATCAAAACTCGTAAGAAAGTAATTTAAATCAATATTATTAACCGTCTACACTCTATAGAGTAAAACTGAATCGCTCGCAAAAAAACAAAGTTGGTTGGAGGCTTTTTTTTTTCTGACATCAAAGTTAGTTAGAGCTAGCTAGAGAGGCTAGAAAATTAATAATATAAAAAGTTGGTTCAACTTCAAACTACCTTTACTGGAGAAAAGTTTTTATTTATATAATTTGTATAACGCATAAATATAAATTTTCTGAAATACATTGTACCCAAAAGGACAGAGGAGCACATACACACATGTATATGTTGTCGAGATTGTCTAATATTATTATATGAATTAAAGAATCTAGTTACTTTGGAGTTTGGATACATATTTGGTTTTCCAGTATTTGACTCGAAGCGCAAATCACGCCGATGAACCGACACAGAGCATTCGTATACACATACATGTAATTAATGATGTAACTAGTTGCTCATATTTATAAATTAATTATCCCAAAAAAAACTAGTTGATAACATGTAAAATGTAAACCGAAAAGTTATCTATATTTTGCTTGATACACAACTTACATAAATACAGAAAATCCTTGTCATTTGTTAGTCATATTTAGAATGGGTTTAACAATCAATTTCTTGTATGTTCAATATGAGCAAAATATATAGAGAGCTAAACAGTTGGTATTTATGTAGACTTATATATCTATAATACACTATAATCTTTGACTTTGTAATCGCTTACAAATATTAGTTGAAACAGTTATACATTAACCTTGGCTACAGAATCAGTAAACTTACAAAATGAACGATTTAACAATGGTAGTTTAATTAGTTGTCAAAATTTGACGATAAAACAAATTGCAAGTGGTTAGATGACTAACATGAACGGACAGTACGGCCACACCACAAACATTGCGGCTCATTTTGTGGAGATATTCAACGTGCTCCTGCTTATCTTTGCTATTATCACCTTCGTATTAATACGTACGGTGCATCGCCGTATTAACATTAATATATTTCTTCCATCATTAATCATTTTATATTTTGAATAATTCCAAAAACCGACGTAAAATTATTAATACGTAGGTCGGCTATATATAGCTCGCAGGACCTTGTGCATATATGATATACCATCATCCCATTGTACAATTAATCCTCTCAATTATACTCTTTTATTAGAGATACAATTGATAGATTTTGTTTTGCTGTTTCACTTGGCGTAAAATGCTCACAATGTCTCTCGTTCTCTCTCTTTGCTTGGCCTTCCTTTGTTCTTTTGTTCATGGTTCTCATAGCTTACCAGCACAACGGACTCTTCATCTTGATGGTAAGACTATACTTTAATTAGTGCCCAAATGATCATATAATGCTCGATCTTATATTTGAGTTACTTAGTATGTTCTGTTAATTAAGATATATTTATAAAAAGATATTGTTATCAGAAGAAACAATAGTTTGCCAGTTTTAGACTTGGCGTGTTATAAAATTAATAGGGAACATGGATAAATAGCGTTATTTTAAATTTCAGAAAAAAAAAATTATTTGGCATTTCAAATGGCCAATAATGTGTTCTTAATTCTAATTTAGTTATTTTTGTCGTCAGCAACTTAACATTACCGGTGACACTAATACAAAGGATTAAACTATAATTAGCTCCGATGTTTTTAGTGAAACGATAATAAATTGTTGTTTACGCTGATATATTATAGTTTTCATAATAGACAAAATGTAAAATTTGGTTTTTATGTTTACTAGGGCTTCTTCCAAATGGGGACTTTGAGAAAATTCCTAACAAATCAAACATGAGAAAGAGACAAATAATTGGCAAATACTCTCTTCCCCATTGGGAAATCTCTGGCCACGTCGAGTTAGTCTCCGGCGGTCCACAGCCGGGCGGTTTCTATTTCGCGGTGCCACGTGGAGTCCACGCAGCTAGGCTAGGAAACTTAGCATCAATATCTCAATATGTTAAAGTGAAACGTGGCTTGGTCTATTCTTTAACGTTTGGTGTCACGAGGACTTGTGCTCAAGACGAGAACATCAGAATCTCTGTGCCCGGTCAGACCAATGAGCTACCAATCCAAACATTGTTCAGTACCAATGGTGGTGATACGTACGCTTGGGCTTTCAAGGCTACGTCTGATTTGGTTAAGGTCACTTTCCATAATCCTGGTGTTCAGGAAGATCCCACTTGTGGCCCAATCGTTGACGCTGTTGCCATTAAGGAGATTCTTCCTCTCCGGTATACCAAAGGTAACTTTCAATTCCGGTTCGGTTTTGATATTGTTCTCATTCCAACTTTTTCGGTTTGACTTTTTTTCAGCATTTTTAGAAGAATTTTAACCGATTCACTTACAAATCTATCACATAATGGCTTAGTATAGGTTTTATTTCCGGTTTGGATTCATTATTTATATTTAAACCGGGTTAAATTGGATTGGATTTCTGTATTTTGATTTCTAACGAGTAAAATCAATTTTACCCAAAACTCCCACATACGTTTTTTCCACTTTGGTTTTGCAATTTGGTCCTTATCTTTTCATATTGTTTTCTCTTTCGCCCCTAACGTTTGATTTTGTTTACGTAAAAATTAATCAGGAAACCTTGTGAAAAACGGCGGATTTGAGACCGGTCCACACGTATTCAGCAACTTTTCTACCGGAATTTTAATTCCGGCGAAGATACAAGACCTACTCTCACCGCTTCCGGGATGGATCGTCGAATCTCTAAAACCGGTCAAGTACATCGATAACCGCCACTTCAAGGTCCCCTCAGGACTCGCCGCAATCGAGCTCGTCTCCGGAAGAGAAAGTGCCATCGCTCAGATCATCCGTACCGTCTCCGGTAGAAACTACATTCTCTCATTCGCGGTTGGAGACGCGCACAATGGTTGTCACGGATCGATGATGGTGGAGGCGTTTGTGGGAAAATCGGCGTTTAAGGTAGCGTTCGAATCTAATGATAAAGGAGCGTTCAAAGCGGGGCGTTTCGCATTTCGGGCCGATTCGAATCGCACGAGGATAACTTTCTATAGTGGGTTTTATCATACCAAGCTTCATGATTTTGGACACTTTTGTGGGCCGGTACTTGATAATGTTAGGGTTTTCCTGGCCCATTAGAATTACTTTAATATGTATTGTAAAACTGAAATAAATATTATTCGATTTCAATTATATTTTCTATATGTACTTCTGTAAAAAGGTCGTTAAGAAATTGATATTCATGCTGCATGCCAAAAAAAAAAAATTGATATTCATGTTTCTTGATCAAATAAATATTGCATTGTGTATTTATACTTGTAATATTTAATATATTGACTGACAAAAAATAGTATACAACACTGAACAAGTAATGATATTTTAAATCTGTGGATCTGTAGATCAGATATACTCTTATTCATACCAAAACGACATAACGTAAAAGAAAATCAGATTCAAAATCGCAACTAATATTCAATCATTTTTTTTTGTTTGTGGACGTAAATTTGACTTAAAGAGCAAATCATGGCGATGATTAATGAGCGAAGACCATATTTGGACTTCTGGAACTCCGCTTAGTATCTCTTGTGTCCACACATGCGCATTTAATTGTAAATCTCATTGACAATTTTCTTTGTTTTAACGTTTGTTTTTTGTACAAGTTAAACGTGAAGCTTTATTAAACAAAAACTTACGTCGATTGCGGAGAAAAGAACCAAAAAGTTGACAATGTTTTGCTTACATGTATATTCAGTGTATGAAATTAGATGAGCACAGACGATTAACTAGATTTCAACATTGTAACTCATGTTATTTTTTTTGGTTTTAATGTGAAGACATTGTAACTCATGTTGGTGTAAAGCTCTAAACTTTTGATGAAATTCAGCGCCAGTTAATAAATAGATATATGCTCCATTCATTGGCTTTTGTTTTCCCCCACTTTTCTGAGTGCAACTTTTCCGATAATACTAATTTTTATCAAAAAAACAACTTTCCGATAATAAAAGAAAACAAAAGAAAAGGCACAACAATTCCTTTATTATGTTAAAGGGAAAAATGGCACGACAATTCATCTAACACATTTTGAAAGACCGACTGGATTATTTTTTCTTTTTGTTTTTTGTCATCAATCGGATTTTGTTAGTTCATTTAAATCTTTTGATTATATTTTTTCACAGCGACATAGCTCGTGATGTTTTTGTAAACACCATGCACATATATATTCGTTGTGTTAGAATTCGTGCTTGGAAGGTTCGTTGCATATTTTTCAGCGTCACATCTGATATCTCACTGCACACAAAGCACAAGAGGACGTATTTTTATAAAGATTCATTTGGTAAAGCGTTAATTAGTAATTTTCTAATATCTTTTATAACCGAAGTAACATGACAGACAGTGAGTCACACGTTGCGGCTAGTAAGGTGCGGTCTTCAACGTGGTTCGAGTTTCCCTACGTATACGCCTATTCGGAAACTTTCTTTAATTAACTAAACAATTTTTTGCCGACAATTTTCTATTGTTGTTGTATATTTCCAAAAATGTTCATGCTGCTGCTTCCTCTTCTTTTCTTATACTAGCTATAATATCTCTTGTGGCTTAAGTTTAAACCCCTATATATATATATAGCCCACAAGGTCCTCATTGATATAGGCGAACTAATTGATAAGACTTTAAAATGTCTCTCTATCACTCTCTTAGCCTTTTCCTCCTTTTCTCTCTCTGCCATGGCTCTTACAGTCTCCAACCACGTCGAGTTCCTCATCTAGACGGTAAGACAATCAATCAACATGAAGTTGTAATATTCATTTTTATATCAATTATTTGGATACATCATACATCTAAACATGAACTTGTAATTAATACTTGTGGTTTCCATCTTTATATATAGGGCTTCTCCCAAATGGAAACTTCGAGCAAACCCCTCTCAAATCAAACATGAAGGGTCGACAAATAATCGGCGCTAACTCTCTTCCTCACTGGCAAATCGGCGGCCACATGGAGTTAGTCTCCGGTGGGCCTCAGCCCGGAGGATTCTATTTTCCGGTCCCACGTGGAGTCCACGCGATTAGAATAGGAAGCTTGGGGACTATCTCTCAGGACGTGAGAGTGAAGAGTGGTTTGGTCTACTCTCTCACGTTCGGAGCCACGAGGACTTGCCCTCAGGATGAGAACATCAAAGTCTCAGTGCCTGGTCAGGCCAATGAGCTTCCGATCCAGACCGTCTTTAGCTCCGACGGTGGAGACACTTACGCTTGGGCTTTCAAGGCAATGTCCGATGTGGTTAAGGTCACTTTCCATAACCCTGGTGTTCAAGAGGATCGCACGTGTGGACCTCTCTTAGATGTTGTCGCTATCAAGGAGATTCTTCCTCTCCGGTATACCAGAGGTAAATAAATTAACCGGCACATATATCCGGTTAGTTAATACGATATATTTTAAGTTTTTTTGCAATTTGATCCTTTTACTTTAGCTGTGTGTTTATGTTTAGCCTGTAACTTTGTTTTGCTGTCTTAGGAAACTTGGTGAAAAACGGAGGATTCGAGATTGGTCCACACGTTTTCGCTAATTTCTCAACCGGAATCTTGATTCCGGCAAGAATCCAAGACTTTATCTCTCCTCTTCCGGGATGGATCGTCGAATCCCTTAAGCCAGTGAAGTACATCGATAGACGTCATTTCAAGGTTCCTTATGGACAAGGCGCCGTAGAACTAGTCGCCGGAAGAGAAAGTGCAATCGCTCAGATCATCCGAACCATCGCTGGTAACGCCTACATTCTCTCGTTCGCGGTCGGCGATGCGCAAAACGGTTGCCACGGGTCTATGATGGTGGAAGCGTTCGCAGGAAGAGAGCCATTTAAGCTTCCTTATATGTCAGAAGGTAAAGGAGCGTTCAAAACAGGACATTTTAGGTTTGTTGCTGATTCAAATCGAACGAGGCTAACATTTTATAGTGCATTTTATCATACTAAGCTTCATGATTTCGGCCATCTTTGTGGGCCTGTTCTTGATAGCGTCGTTGTTACCCCGGCCCGTTAACAAATTATGGCTCTTAATTTTTATCAGACTGAATGTTTATTCTTACAATAAGAAGAAACACGATTTGTAAGGAATTGGTGGTTGCACTACATTTTGTTGTTGTTGTTGTCACTAGTCTTGTAACTCACACCAGTGATGCAAGACAATCTATATATAATAGCAATCTAATAAATACCATTTGCACATCTGAACGGTTACGTCTTTTTATCGCAACCTTTCGTTTAAATCGGTTATTTTTTTTACGGTTATGTTTTTTTATTGAATTTTCTCTTTAAATTTTCGTTGAATTATTTAGGGGCTTTTGCAAAAAAGCCCCTTTTTCAATGCCACTTTTCAAAAATGTCCCTTCTTTAAAATCTTATAAAAAATGCTCTTAAAAATATAAGATTTACCCAAATATGTATGTAACATTATTAAAACATACACAAACTACATTTCTATGTATCTAAAATCTTATAAATACTTTATAAATACCTTATAAATGCATTTTAAATACCTTTAAAAACCTTTAAAATATCTTGTAAAACCTTTAAAAAACCTTAAAAATCCTTTAAAATAACTTGTAAAACCTTTAAAAACACCTTATAAACCCTTATAAATACTTGGATCGAGTCTTCAAGTAGTAGTTACAATCCATAAGTACCTTATAAACCTAATAAAACTTTATAAAAATTTCAGATTTAAAAAGGGGCATTTTTGAAAATAGACATCTAAAAGGGGCATTTTTGAAAAAGGGCACACCAAAAAGGACATTTTTAACAATTTCCCAATTATTTACGGTTATATTTGTTTAATTACAGTCGTATCTTTTCAGTTTACAATTATATCTTTATAGTTGCATTTATTCATTTAAAGTTACGTATTTTCATTATATAATTTCATTGCATTTTTTGTATAGTTAGTAATATTACGAAGTTTTTTTACATCAACCATTAGACTACATATCAAATTGGTTTTATTAACCAAAATAACAACCTCAATAAATGCATTTTGCACTTCTGAACGGTTGTGTCTCTTTACCGTAATTTTTCATTAAAAAATTAACGGTTATATTTTCGGGTGTGTTTTTTATCGCAACTCTTCATTAAAATATTGACGGTTTTTTTTCGGTTGTGTCTTTTCATTGCAACTTTTTGTTAAAATATTGGTTGTTACTTTATTTGTTTGTGTCTTTTTATCGCAATTTTCCGTTAAAATATTGACGGTTATTTTTTCTCGGTTGTGTCTTTTTATCGCATCTTTCCGTTAAAATGTTGACGGTTATTTTTTCTTGGTTGTATCTTTTTATCGCAATTCTTCGTTAAAATATTGACGGTTAATTTTTTAGTTGACGGTTATTTTTCGGTTGTGTCTTTTTCTCGCAACTTTTCGTTAAAATATTAACGGTTACTTTTTTCGTTGACGGTTATTTTTTTTGGTTGTGTTTTTTTCTCGAAACATTCCGTTAAAATATTGACGGTTACTTTTTCGTATCTGTTTTTATCATAACTTTTTGTTAAAATATTGACGATATTTTTTTTCTCGGTTGTGTCTTTTTATCGCAATTTTTTGCTAAAATATTGACAGTTATTTTTTCTCGGTTTTATCTTTTTATCGCAACTCTTCGTTAAAATATTGACGGTTACTTTTTTCGTTGACAGTTATTTTTTCGGTTGTGTCTTTTTATCGTAACTTTCCGTTAAAATATTGACGATCATTTTTTTTGTTTGTGTCTTTCTATCGCAACTTTCCGTTAAAAGTTTGACGGTTATTTTTTCTCGGTTGTGTCTTTTTATCGCAACTCTTCGTTAAAATATTGACGGTTCTTTTTTTCGTTGACGATTATTTTTTTGGTTGTTTCTTTTTATCGCAACTTTTCGTTAAAATATTAACATTACTTTTCTCGTTTGTATCTTTTTATCGCAACTTTTCGTTAAAATATTAACGGTTATTTTTTCTCGGTTGTATCTTTTTGTCCTAGCTCTTTGTTAAAATATTTTCGGTTACAATTTTTCATTGATGGTTATTTTTTCGGTTGTGTCTTTTATCGTAACTTTCAGTTAAAATATTGACGGTTTCTTTTTTTGTTTTTGTCTTTTTATCTTATTTTTCCGTTAAAATATCGACAAGTTTATTTTTCTCAGTTGTGTCTTTCTATCGCAGCTTTCCGTTAAAATATTGACGGTTATTTTTCTCGGTTGTGTCTTTTATCGCAACTCTTTGTTAAAATATTGACGGTTATTTTTTTCCGTTTGTGTCTTTTTATCAAAATTTTTCGTTTAAATATTGACTGTTATTTTTTCTCGGTTGTGTTTTTTTATCGCAACTCTTCGTTAAAATATTTACGGTTACATTTTCGTTGACAGTTATTTTTTCTGATGTGTCTTTTTATCATAACTTTTCGTAAAAATGTTGACATTTACTTTTTTTTTGTGTCTTTTTATTGCAATTTTTCGTTAAAATATTGACGGTTATTTTTTCTCGGTTGTGTTTTTTATCGCAACTTTCTGTTAAAATATCAACGGTTATTTTTTCTCGGTTATGTCTTTTTATCGCAACTCTTCGTTAAAATATTGACGGTTATTTTTTGTGTTGACGGTTATTTTTCTGGTTGTGTTTTTATATCTTTTTGGTTTTGACCCGCTAGAACTTCTCTATATTATAACTCTTCGTTAGTTATTTTGTCACTTATAAATAATTTTATATTCACAAAAAATGTTTCAAAAGTGTTTTTTAATCATAATTTTTTTTTTTTACATTTTTATTCATAATTTTTTTTTAATATTTTTAGAAAATATTTACGATATAACTTTAAGACATAGTTCATTTTATATAATAATTCAATTTTTTGAATATATTATAATAATAATTTAATATATAAACGTAATAAAATATATTTGTTGAAAATGAGTTCCCCGTGATATCGCGGGGTTCATAACCTAGTATTTCTAATATGTATGGAAACTCTGTGGAAATTGTTAAAATAAAATTATAAAGAATGATGAATAGATTTCAATTTAGTAGATGATTTACATCTTTCATCCATATATATTGCTAAAATATATGACGTATTATTCAAAATGAAGTCTGATATAAAAACAGTAGTTAAAATTTTTACAAAGACCATTTTACATGGTCAACTTAAATTAACAAGACTTGTTCTCTATAGTTCTTACTCTTATGGAATATATTCATATACAAATGACTCAAGTATGTTTGTGCTACGCTGTTGGATTCGAATGACGTGGCGAAACCTATACCGTCGATAATATTCAGACGTAGACATTAGCACAGTAGATAAATTCCCGTCCTCTGTCTTTTATTTCTCTGAGCAGAGAAAAGAAAAAACAGACGCCGGTGAAGCGATAAAGAGCTAAGAAGACCCACCGAAGACGAAACTTAATCCGAAAGTTGTAATCGAAACGAAGATGGCCGTCGAGAAATCGAACACGACGGTGGGAGGTGTCGAGATACTGAAACCACGTACGGATAACAGAGAATATCGGATGATTGTCCTTAAGAACTTGCTCCAGGTCCTGTTGATCAGCGATCCCGATACCGATAAGGTTTGAAATCATTATGATTTGGTTTCTGATATCGATTCCTTTGATTTTGGATTTCGTTTACTGATTCGTGAAGCTTGATTATTTTCTTCAAGTGTGCTGCTTCAATGAGCGTTAGTGTTGGATCCTTCTCTGACCCACAAGGATTAGAAGGCCTTGCTCATTTCTTAGGTACGTTGAATTTTTCAAGTTTTGTAATTTCTTAAGTAGAATTCAAGTTGTCAATTGTTATTTGCCATGGAATGATTCAATCACTGTGCTATCAGTCATTGGTTAAATCTAGTTTCAATATGGAGTGGCTTGTTATAATGTTTTACTATTGTTTTTTTGGTTGTTAGAGCATATGCTATTTTATGCAAGTGAGAAGTACCCTGAGGAAGATAGTTACTCCAAGTACATCACAGAGGTAGTATATATCCTTGCACTCTCCCCGAATATATGAACTCAAACATACTCAAAGTTGTTTTCGATTCCACTTGATGTAAAATTTTAAGAAACATGGAATTTTCTTGGTGTAGCATGGAGGCAGTACAAATGCTTATACGGCCTCTGAAGAGACAAACTACCATTTCGATGTTAATGCTGACTGTTTTGAGGAGGCTCTGGACAGGTACAGTTGGTGTTTTTGTACTCTTGCTAACTAATCTTCTCTAATCTTTTATCATTTTTTTTGCCTGTGTAAGATTCTTATGTGGCTGCTTAAATCAGATTTGCTCAGTTCTTTATCAAACCACTAATGTCAGCTGATGCCACCATGAGAGAGATTAAGGCTGTTGACTCAGGTTTGCTCGCTTTTGTTTTCTTTACGTTTTTGTCGTTGCAGTTTTTGAACTATAAACAGGTTATAACGAGTTTTCTTTCCCCAGAGAATCAGAAAAACTTACTCTCTGATGGTTGGCGAATTCGACAGGTATAATTCTAGTCTAAAGAACAATTATCAGGTGTTATTTATATGTATAGGACTCATTTTGTCATTTTTTTGGTAACAGTTACAGAAGCATCTTAGCAAAGAAGACCATCCGTATCACAAATTTAGCACAGGTCTCTCTAAATTTTTTACTGTTATTGCTGTTGAATGCCCAATTTATTCTGAATAGTCAGTGTGATTCCCAATATTTTTCTCATGCTAAATAAGTGAGGTTTTTGCTTAGGGAACATGGATACACTTCATGTACGACCCCAAGCGAAAGGAGTGGATACAAAAAGTGAGCTTATTAAATTCTATGAGGAACATTATTCTGCCAACATCATGCATCTGGTTGTATATGGGAAGGGTATGTTTTGGTGCTAACACAAAACTCAAAATTCCTTTTTTAAGGAAATAAAAAGGTTTAAATAGGTAACATCTGTGCTATTGTTTTGCTCTGCATGTTTTCAGAAAGCCTTGATAAAATTCAAGATCTTGTAGAAGGGATGTTCCAGGAAATCCAAAACACCAACAAAGTTGTCCCTAGATTTCCTGGCCAGCCATGTACTCCAGACCATTTGCAGGTTTTTTTTCCTTCCGCAAATTTAGAATATATTTTTACATGAAAATATATCATGCT